GTTGAATGATGAGTGATGAAAAAAAAGTTGCTTCATGTGACATTAAAATACTAAAAGTATTCAGCCTGATAATTTATTGTGCATGAACAATTGCCGGATAATTAATGGAGTAAAAGAGTCTGGGAGTAATTTACAGTTTAAAATTCAATATAATGATGTTCAAGTTGATTTCATTCTAATAAACATTTCGTTTCAATTGAATAACTGATTACAATTAAAAGCTCAAAATAAAAAGATGTTACAATAGTCCAGTAAGTTGCTCGTCTCAAAAGGTTATGTCGAAGGTTCGAGGACTCAATCCAACTTGTTTAAATGTAAACTAAATTCCGATCGATTTACGTTTAGAATTTGGATTTTTATCATTTTGTCTAAATGGCCAAACTTGCGGAACTTTTGAAACCCAAGAAACGTTTTTGTACAACACATCGAGTTTGATCGAAAATTAAGAAACGATCAAGAATTTTTGAAATTGTTGTGATGAAAGGAGCATTTGAATAACCCCGAAAGCGCATTATATTATTATATAATATTTATTTATCATGAAATTGTCAATGAGCAACTGAAGCTGAAAATGAAACATTCCAACAATTGCTTGATTCGGATGTTGCAGTAAACAGTCGACTGTAAACTAAATAAACTTTAATCAATCAAGTAAAATATTCAATGTTTATTTTCATGTGAAACAAATGTCAAGAGTTTAAGGAAAGTTTATCTAGAAAAGACTGAACGTTTCATGGTGAATGTATAATTGAAAGTAGTCTCAATAATCACTGACGAGTTCAACTTTTCATTTATCGCAACAATGACAACTGATAACCTTTGAAAAGTGAGCTTTTGTGCTGAGCCAAGCTCTTGTTTGAACAGTAATCATCTGTATTACAATGAATGAATTATCTGAATGAATTAAAAGGTAATGTGAATCAACAATTACATGATCATCATCATGATTCAAGGCTTAATATCCTTGACTTTTAAGATGTTTATTTATAACCTATTTTTTCCCTTTTCATCCTTTTCCTACCTTCATCTACCAATGTAAACATAAACAACATTTTTTTTGTCTTGCTCTGCTTTTCAACATTTTGCTTCTTCATCCAACGACTTGAAGATTCTTGGAGTGAAATTTTCTGTCTGTATCTACAATTCCTGTGAGAGATTGAACCTGAAAGATGAAGAGGTGATCAATTGATGTTTGTGGATGGTGAGAAGAGAGAAAGAAGATAAAGAATGAGAAAGTCTGGAAAAAAATTCTTGTTCGCTTCGAGTTTTCTTCGTCTTTTTACTTTCTCTGTTTACTATTTTTTGTTGTTCCTCAACTCTACACATTGATCTCTTTCTCTGATTTAAGATGACGATGAACGATGATACACTTTCCTTTCTTTCCTCTTTTTTTATATCAACCTAAACAATATGATGATACAAAGTAATATCATCCATTGGGAATAATAGGGAAAAGTGGTTTTACTTTTTTTTCTGCTTTTCTTGTTCTGTTACAGTTTAGATCATTTTTGTTCACTTTCAAGTTGTATTAGAATAAAACATTGGTAGAAAAAAAAGAAAATGAAATGCAAAGATAAATTCAATTTCGAGTTCAACAGCGATTGAGATTAGTCTCTTTACTCAGTTGATATTGTTTACCAACTCCAACAGTCAACTGATGATTGTAGCGATTAATTGTTGGTAAACAACTTGTAAAAGATACAAATGAAAACAATATTCAATCAAAAATCACGAAGTTTGCGAATGCAATGAAACGTTCAAGGTTTAATCAACTGATTGAGTTGCTATTCTTAGGTTATTTTGCATCATTATTGTAACGACGATTGCAACTGAACAGAATTGAGATTGCAATTGACTTTTCCATAAACAACACTAACGGATATTTATGCATTAAAATTGATAAACAGTTGCGACTCTAAAACTGAGCCAGGTTGAAGTGAGAAGCTAGTACTGCAAAATACCGAGACCGGTTGAAGTCATCTTCACTTAACTGATGTTAGCTCGTGTGGTTGTGATCTTGTGGATTGCTTCAGCTAGGATCCTTTGTGCAACTTTTGAAGGTGTAATCCGGAACTGCACTTTGACAAAAATTGAGTTTCAGTTTGTTGCAGACTCGGAAGAGTTAAAATAAGTCATTAGAGATTATCATTTCAAAGTCAAGTGCAATAAAAAATTAACGAATGAAGCAAAAACGGTCGTTTAAGTTGAATTTATATTTGATCATTAAGCATGACTTGAGTTGGCTTGATTTGGCATTAATTTTTTACTCCAACTTCAACCTGGAGATGAGGAAAAGGTTTGTCTCGTTTGCATCAACTATCAATATATTGACTTGATATTTATAAGTCATTATGGATGAAATAAGTTGTAAATTGATAAACTTTTAATTAAACTGTCTCATAAAATTTTCATCTCAAAATAACTGAAGTCATCTTTTGCATCATTATTGTTCATTTTAATGAGACAGAGTTGAAATGAGTGACACAAAGTGCTTAATTAAAGGTTATCATTTTGAGTGACAAATCGGTCGAGATTAAAACAATTGTCTAGCTGAAAATAGCGGTTACTTTGATGATTAAAGTTGATTAGGTTCTAATAAACATTTGAAAGAAGCGTTTCAAAGACATTTATATCTAGTCATTATAATTGTGACTACCATTTGACTGTGATTTGATGTGAAAATTTGCTTTTCTCTTTTCACGTTTCTTCTCCTAAAAATAGAAAGTTTTAACCGAAAAAGGTTGCAGATAAAAGGTAAAGGTAGCAATTCAATTTATTGAAGAGATGAGTTTATCTGCATCTTGAGATTTGTATCTGTAACTTTTTTTTGTTAAATCTTATCACTTGCAAGAGAGGATGAAGAGAAGCACAAGGAAAGATAAAAAAGAGAAACCAGTTCAGCTTAAAATGAAATTACTGGTTCCATGGGAATTACCTGGAAAGAGAAAACTTATTTAATGTTGAACAGTTTTTTTTTGCCTTCTCTTTACTTCTTTTCCATGCAAAGACGAGAAAACTTGATCAAATTGTTGAAACCAGTTTTAAGGTCAACGCGCGCAAATCAACTTAGCTATAAATGAACAGTCTGTTTGTGTGTGAAAGAGAAGAAGAAAGTCTTGGCATGAAACTCAGGTGATGAAGAGAAAAAAAGAAGAGATGAAGATTGATAAAGATGATAGGTAGAGAGAAAGGTGGAAGACCTGAAAAGTGAGAAAAAAAACTCAACATTTTGAACAATTTTTGGCTTTCGTTGGAATCTTTTCAAATTTGATTTTTAAATTTAATCAAAGTGTTTTTTCATGACGCTTCAATGAGTGTTTCAAGAGTTTGATTAAAACATTAACCAAGTTGACCAAGAATGAGCAAGAAAATTGCAGGTAAAAGTTGTAATCATTTTGATTGTAAAGATGAGCTCTTAATCAAAGTCAAGATTTCAAGATGAATTCAATTCTAACTCTGAACATTTCAAGGTTCGAATTTCAATATTTGCAACTCGTTCTGAGTCAGAACAATTTCAAGTGCAAGATTAACACCAATTCATCTTCAACTCTCTTTGACCACCTACAGGTATGAATGTTTCAGTGATGATGACAGAGAGAGGAAGCAATTCTTAAAGGACGTTAGCACTGGTCAGGAAAGAGCAACTTTCATTTGATAACTTTTTATGTTTTCAAATTCAATCTTGCGAGGTTGATTAACCTTTAATAAGCCAATTGAAACCAACATTGAGAAAAAACTAGTTCATCATCTTGATAGTCATCATCGTAATCATCTGCATTTTTTGCCTTCTTCATAACAAAACTGAACTTTAACAAAATGATCACGAGATGAAACACTTAAGAGTCAAATCAAGAATCAAAGTAAACTAATCATCAGAAATGGCAAGGCAAGGTAAAAAAGTGTGCGAGTTGTCATCTCAAACATTATCTCATTCCAGGCTCATCATTATCATTTTTTTTCTTACCTTTTGTCACTTTTACTTCAACTTTTCCCTTTTACTGTTTGCTATTTTGTCAACTGTTAAACTGAGTTTCCTGCTTTTCACTCTTGGCCAATCAAGGCTCTTTGTTTGATGCTAACAACACGCTTCCATTGGGTTACAAAAAATGTCAACATGAGCCTGACAATGGTTAAGTGTTGTAAACATAAAATGTTTTCATTCGCATTTTTAGACAATCAAATGTCAAGATGATTCTTATGATAAGGATGATAATAATAGCTATCATGATGATGGGCTTGTTGCAGTAAAATTGAACAGTGTGAATAGATCATTTGCAGGTTTGTAATCTCATTTACAGTTACGTGTCTTGGAATGAAGTTTGGTTAACAAAATAGAAAAGATGAAAATTCATTTTTCCATGTTACAAACTTGTTACTCCTCTTTTCCATTTTTAAAATTTACATACATAATGGGCAAGATGAGACCAAAAGCAATACATTAGTGAAATGAGATAAGTGTTTTCAAGTATTTCATTTAAACAAACCCTTTCAATGTTATCCTTTCAAGTCTAGATGTTTCTCAGAGTTATTCATTTCAAACACACAAAACAAAATGAAATATGCAAAAATACCAGAAAACAAAGGCTAATCTTTCATCCAGTTCAACTATTTGATGGCGAAATAAAGATTCAGATTTAAAGCCACAAAAAATATTTGCAAATGTACAACTTTAGATTGGCTAATAACGAGTTTCAGAAAAGTCTTCAAAAACGTTGAGCTAAGAAACATAAGTTGGTTAAAGTTGAAATCTTGAAAGTCACAGAAAACTTGAAACAAAAAAGCTGATTAAAATACAGAGTTGAACTTCGGGAAGACAAAAAGTGATCAGCTTGATTAGTTTCAAGCGAACTTCAAAAGTCAAATTGACCTGAAATTATGATAAGTGTGCAAAAAGTCGTGAATTTTTTCTTCAAAAGTCGGTCGACAATTATTTGCAAAACATTGAGTCAACCAATATTGAGATTTGTTTGTTCAAGTGTGCAAAATGCTAATCAACTTACTGAGGATCCCGAACATCAGGAAGAGATCGTCTTAGTGAAATCATGTCACTAATATATTGATTGAATGCATTGTCTTCCCATCCTTTGCTGACCAGACTTTGCACTTCACTTGAAACATTGGTTGGTAAGACAACAGGTTTACCCAATTCACCTGGGCCTTTCTTACTATCATCAATTGGCATTGGTATCACAGCATTTTGATTGAAACGTTTAGCATTTAACTGGAAATTGCAAATTCATGATAATCATGGAAAAGAAGAAGAAGAAGAACAAGAAAATGAAAAGATTAATTTAGCAGAAAAGTTGAAAAAATACAAATTTTCAAGTTTACTCAACTCAGGGTGATGCGCTTTAATGCAACAAAAGCGTAAAAATGTTTAACATTAACATTGATTTTGGCAAAATGTTTATCAAATTAGTTTACCAATTGCAGGTTCATTTTTGTTGACTCTAATAGTTTACCAATAATCACACTTGCAATCATCATCTTCATCACCATGATAATCATCGCCATCATCAACCATCAACATCATCATTATGCTCATTGACATTATCTGTATAACATTATTACTGTTGATAATTTTGAAATGATCATCAATTGTAGATGGTTCATTGAATACAATTTAATAAATACAAAAATGCTCTCAAATGTGTTCACATTAACAAAATCATTTACACCTTTTATGCATGAGTAATGTTTATGATGATGTTCCTGTTGTTGATGATGATCATTATCAACATTATCATCAAGATAATGATCTGAGTAATGTTGCACCAAGGAAGAAGCAAGAAAAGAAAATTAATTTTTTTCTTCTTTTCGTCGAACCTTTTTTTCCACTGTAAATTTTTTACTCAAATTCAAGTGAACCTGCAATCAGAGTTGACTGACATTGTGAGTAAAAACTGAGTTGATCAATTGAAACATTAATTGTTACTCACTTTGTTATACAGTTTATGATGTTTATGGTTAATTCCTGGAGCTAATTGTTCACTTTCTCCTGGAACCAGATTTAATTTAGATTCACTATTTGTTAACTTATTGACACGATTAACATTATTTTCTAATACAATATTGTTCAACACTTGATGGGCAGATGATGAGATTGATGGTGATGAGGATAACTGTGACAATACAAGTAAATCATCAGCATTTGGATGTTTTACCCTTTCATTGAGATTAATGAAAAGTGTTAATAAAAACCATGAAGCAGGAATGAGAAGAAGCACTTTAAAGTAAAGGCTTCTTCGTCGAGGAACAAAAACCATCTCACAATGGATACACTTTTCACTAAATTTTCGAGCTTCTTCTTCTTCTTCTGTCCTTGTTCGTCTTCTGTCTTTACCTCAAGATGTTGGCCTTTCAACAGCTCTTACTGTTGTCCACTTGTACCACTCTTGATTCCCTTTTTACCTTTGCTTGATTGGATTCTTGGTTGATGTCCAGTTTACTGTTTACTATTGTTGTTACAGGAATAATAATTTAGGTAATTTGCTGTTCATTTCATGATATTTATATAATGGTAAGATGATGATGATGTTGTTGTTGGAAAGGCAAGTTGAATCTGAAAATGAACAAGGAAATAAAAAGAAGGTTAATATCATTGAAAAAATACTTTTTTTTGTGTTCACTTGTCGTAGGAGCTGATGATAATCACACATTAATGGGAAACCATTTGCTCTCTTACTGATGATGATAATGGTGATAATGATTATGATGTGCATGTGAATCAACTTGTCTTTCACTGTTTTTTTACATTCTTGACTCTTCTTTACATCTACTTGTCTTGGTAATCCTTATCCTTTGTGCAACTCACACTATCGCATTGTTTATTAACATCTCTTTTTTCACTCTGGACCATTCTGTGTTTGACGAATCCAGGATCTGGATTCTTTAGACGAGACTGGATTACATTAATCAATCAAATAATCATTAGATAAGGAAACAAACAGTTTATCATTTTCATTTAACTTTGCTTATCTTCATTTTTCTCTCTCTCTCTACTTCACATCTTCAAGTTCATCTCAATCATTTTGTTATAACTTTCAATATTACATAGAAACGGAAAGCCAAGCAATTATTTTTCATCTCAAAATTGCAATTTAATGAAATATATCGATTGCAATTACAGTTTGATAGACAATGTTCAATCAATTTTTTCAATTTTACTCTTTAAAGGGAGACCACAAAATCGATTGCATATCGATTTGTTGCATCATTCATTTACCTTACATCTTATTCAGTGAGATTCAATTTTCTGTCAGAATTATGAGTTTTATCGAAAGCAAATCAACCTAAAGATTTGGTGATTTCTGAATCTACTTATTGGGCTTGGTGGACAAGTTAATATTAGTTTAGATGAAGCTCAAGCTGAATTAATCTCAATATTATCTACATTCTTGGCTAATGATTAAAGCCTTAATAACTTGGTTCAGTGGCAATGAGCTGAGATTAAATTCAATGAAAAAGGTTAGGTTAGGTTAAGTTGAATGAGGTTTAATTGCCAATCGAACACGATTTTAAATTAACTCGAATCACCTTAAGAATTTCAAATCTCGAGTTCATTGTTCTTCTACTTTGGCAAAACAAGGTTCGAAAACTGTCAAATGATAGGTTAGTAAATGCTAGCAAAAATCGATGAATGTCAATTATTTTTCAATCCATGACCTGGGAATCAATCACAACTTTATAATGCTACAAACAGACGCATCGCTTTTCGAGTTTCGATCTCTTAAAATCGATCTTCTACTCTTCCACACTGAACTTTACAAAATTGTAAACGTTATTGTAATTACATTGCCCAATCGATTTAAAACGATTATTAAAAAAGTCGATTCCAAGCATGTAATCATTGAATGCAAATGAATGTAAATAACCTATTTGTATGCATTGAACAATTGATTGGATAAGTCAGCAAGGAAATTGTTTGATAAAAGTTAATGAAACAAAACTCTGTTCAAACATTCATTAATATTGCACCTTAACATGTTAATGGAATGAAATGAATTTTTCATTCAATTTTTCAATTATCAACTATAACAGATTGATGAGACAGTAAAAGTTACAAAAATTGATTCCTATTAACTTTTAATGATAATTAGTTGTACAATGATAAATGATAGTTGATGATGGCAAATGGACAATCAAAATGAAAATTGGTGATTGGCCAGAAAAGGTTTGAATAGCGAAACAAAGTGAAAGGGAAAACTGGAAATGCACGAGAAAAGTGAAATTGAGATGAAAATGAAACTTGACCGAGTTCATTGGTCAGATTAAAGTTGCGTGTTTGAAAGGAAAAGGTTGTTGCGTGAATCGAGTGAAACTTGTAAGATTGAGATTGAAATTTGCTATTCTTGACACATTTGACTTTGATGATAACCAAGCATGATGCTCTCTCTCTCTCTCTCATTGATACAATTATCATGATTATCGTGTGTTCAATTGAACCAGCATCATTTCAAGTCACAGTTTGTTTGTTGATCATCATTATTGTTATTATCATTATTGTTCTGGGAATTGATTGTCAACAACAATTCAATATCACAAAATGTTTCCACTCGTTTCAACAATCGATTCACAACGGGTTCATGAATGAAACTTTTCCTTCTTCTTCTTTTTCTTCTTCTTCTTCTTCTCATAATCATTATTCATTGTTCATAAAGATTGTTAAAAATAACATGAAGCACATTTTGATTTCAAGCTAATTGCGTGATTCATGATAATAATGTTGATATCAATTTCAATTACGACTCATGTTTATCATTTTTCATTTCATTTGGTTGATGATATTTCATAGCAAGCGGTTGGAAAATGTTTCAAACATTTCAATTTGCAGGTTCAGTCAAGAGATTAAAGTTTATTGTTAATAATGATCAACCATGATGGTTCATTTTACGCTCATAATTCACCCTGTTTGCATAAAAAAAGGAATTCCAAATTTAATTTACTATTATTGTTCACTTTTCTGTGGTTAACTATGTTGATATTTCATGTTATTAATTTGTAATTTGATTAGTGAAAGCATTTGGAGCAATTTCAATGATAATAAATATCAGTTAATCAACTGGAAATCAGTTTAATCTATTAATTCATTTTCCCTTTTTTTCAAGTCTAATTTTGGTTTGCCGATTGAAATGCTTTGGCCAATTTATTTCAATCAAATTCAATTGATGAATTGAATCGATGAAAAGAAGTGAACTTTTCAACAATCAATTGTAATCAAAATAATGATATCAAATTGTGAAATTAAGAGAAAATTTCATTTCTTTCAACTTCAATTATTATTCATTATGCATGAGTTGAGTAAATATTAAGCCTTCTTAATGGTGAATCCAATGAAAAATGGATTCTTATTTGATTAAAATTTTGGTTAACTTTTGTAGCATCATTGATGGACCCTAAACATGTACCATAAAAGTTTATCGTTTCTTGTTTATTCATGTACAAGTTTCTGTAAAGAATTCAATGGAAAACTGGAAAAATTTAGATTATAATGATGATCATGTTGATGATGGTAACCACTAAGAAGGTTGAAAACATCAAGGTAAGTTGAATGTTAAAGAAAAAAGTTTTTCATGTTCAATAATACTTTTTCATTTTGTGTGTAAATATTACAAATGGTAACTTTAAACTGGACATGAATATCATTGAATGACCAGTAATGATATTGATCCGTATTCTGGTCATTATCTTTCATTCCTAATGGTTTATGGTACATAATGGTTAAATATTATATCGCTTTTCATGTGAAGAAAAAAGTTTACGAAAAATTATTATCATATTATATCAAAAGGATTCAACTATTATTATGGAGAAAAACATTTGCTTTCTTAACAAATAATCTTGCAGTCAAAGAAAAAGAAATTGTTTATCTGAATTCGAAAAGTTGAAATCTCCTGAATTTGCCTTATGATTATAGCTTTTGCATTCAATCTTTTTTGACCCCAAAAACTCGGACTCATCGCTTGTACCAAATGATAAAATTTTGACGATGGGAATTGAATCTGTAGAGTCCTTGCAGCTTCACCTTTTATCAACTCAATTAGTCAGCTAACTTGACGTAACCTAATCTAACCTAACTTAACCTAACTCATCACTTTGATGAACAAATGAATCACAGTTTGAAGTAAAGGATTAAAGTTGCGATTTCACACAATAATGAAAAATGATGAATCTGTTTCAATCTTTGAGTCAATCTTTGACAAATTTCCTCAAACATCATTTTAAACTCAAACTGTGATTTCTAACCTCAAACTTGGCCATAATATGCTTTGGATCAGTATTTTTTGGACAAATAGTTCGGATACGCAGTACGTACTGTCACGGTTTATTATTGATCACGTTAAAAGATTACCCTGCTTATTGAGCTTTTAGATAATGTTTTAGTATTTACTTTTGATTATCATTTTTCATTGTAACAATAATGCAAAATAAACCGATGATAAGCTGTCAATTCAACCAAGTTTGAGGTTTACATGTGAAACTGATTGAGCTTGGGTAACCAAATGTGACCAGACTGACCGAATCTTGGCTTAGCTTTCATTTCTCAAATTGTTCAAGATTGACTCATGATTGAATTGTACAAGTTTCACCAAGCTTATTTCATAGCATTCACAAAACAGATGTATTTTGTGGCAAAGATTTTGCTTTAAAGATTTGGTTAGACATTATTTTAAGCTCAATTCAAATGAAAAGCAAAGCTAATTTACAAACTCAATTTTAGGTTACCAGCAACTTTTAGATAAACAGTTATTAACCATGGCTAATGAGTTACAATTCATTGAAATATCCTTTGAAATGGCAGCAAATAAAGTACAAGCTGTTTGATGAAATTATTTCCTTTTCATGTTGAGGATGTTTTTTTCATTGAGAAAAACTTTGGATAGGTTTGAATGTTATTGAGGCTTGTTAATGTTACCACACTTGGATCTGAACGGATTCGAGGTAATTTCAATGGGCTTTTTATTATTATCATTATTATTAAAGCAAATACACACACTCTCTCTCTATACATGGAAACATGGTTTAACTTTGCTGGGTTCACAATTGAAGCAATAAAATGGCATCAATTTACAATCAAACCAGAAATAAAGCCAACAACAGCAAAAAGATTTAGGTCAATCAACATGGTTTACAATAGAAATAAAAGTAAAATAAAATGCTATTAAATTGTCATCATCAATGAAAGTTAATCTTGATCAAGTTTTAACTTCATTTAAAAAGGATTTGCACACAAAAAAAGAACAACAAAACGCAAAGTTGCACTGAAAAGTGAAGCTCATCAATTTATCTCAATTTCAACAGCCAATTGTTTCCCCAATATTTGTAATTTCATCTGATTAATGTTAACTCATTACAATTTTTTCTGGTTAATCCAACTGATTTACATGTTAAAAATGAGAATTTACATGAAATGGAAAGAAAATCCATTTCTTCATTTCCTTTCATTCCAAAAGGTTAATCAAGTTTACTCGAGACTTTTATTGAAATATTTGTGTCAATAACTTTCATTTTCACTTTCCACTGACTGTCCAAGTGATGACCTTTTCGTGGCCTCTTGTCTGATCAAAGGAAAGCTTTCTGTGCTTGTGACAAATAATTGTCAACATTTCATTGATATTATTACTTGTCAATGTGTACAAAATAATATAATATTACCAAACAAGTAAAGGGAAAAGTTTTTGTTTTGTCTTTTCAAATGTTGAGTGAAAAAAAAGCAAAACAAAAATACTTTTCTTTCCCTTCACAACAGTCAAGACTGAGTAAACACTCGAGTATTGATAATGTATAAATGCAGCCCAAGAGTATTTCTTGGTGAAAAATGTTTCATAAATCACCTTGTGTAACCATGAAACAGGGCTAAGGTGAGTAGTGTTGAAGTGCAAGAATGTATTCCAAGTTTGTTCAAGAAAAAAAATCGACATTCAATTTGTAAACAGTCTCGTTGACACAATTCAGTTTGAAATATTCGGAAAAACTTTGCTTTAAGAATTGGTTAATTATCGTCCAATTTTTCATGAAATTCATTTAGAAATGACATGATATACCAATTACATCTAATAATTGTTTTTCCTGAACATTGATGAGTTTCATGAGAATTTAAGAAAAATTTGAGATAAAAGTTGCTGTAATCTTTGAATTGGTATTTTTTCTTCTGAAATCCTGAAATCATGAAAGTCTTGGGCATTCATAAGTCGATATAATTGCTGCCTTTTAATTTCACTTCAAGTTAAGTAACTAATCGACAATTGAACTTTGAAATTGAACAAAAGAACAAAAATTTAGTAGACTTTTCTTTTCGTCTTGAATCTTTAATGCTTTTGTCCACAGAATTGGCTTGTATCTCATGTTTTCTACACAACGTCACATCTGGTTCAGGTTAGGTTTGGTTAGTTTAGGCTTACATTCAGTTGAGTGAAAAGGTTTAAATGATGAAAAGAATGATTGAATTTTAATTATTCAAGAATTCATTAGTGAATAATTGACTCAGCAGTGAATAACTAGAAATGCTCTCGTTTATTCCTTACTAATTACTTTAATTGTCTTCGTGAGTTTGAACCAGTCAATGTTTCCATCACTTTGGATTAACATTTTTTCAACTTATTAGGTGTAACTATTGTTTAATCTTTCATCAATTTACTTTTTGTTTCTACCTGTTTGACCCTTTACTGTATTTTTAGTCTTACAGTCCTAACCTTTTCTTGTGCAACTGCAAAAAGGGTTTGATTATTTTGATGATTCATCAATCTTTTAAGCTATTGTAACCACCAAGTGAGGTGAAAAAGATCATGTTTTGATGGTTCCAACTAAGCTGATTGATAAATTTTATTGTAAGATGATTCAATGGTTAAACCTTATCTAACCTAACGTAATCTAGCCTATTAATAATACATTATACTGATATCAACTTGACCCAAGTTAGTAAAATTATAAAAGCGTAAGAAAAAATCGATAATTCTTAGAACTGATCTTAAAATCGATTTCAACAAAGATTAATCATCAGTTTTTCTCACAAAATACCAAGGAAAAACTGAGAAATGGAATTGCAATTCGACAGCTTTCACTGATTTTTAACTTTGAACGGAAAATCATGAAACAAACTCCACAATCGACGATTAAAATACGCTTCAAGTATTTGCAGATACAAAGGATCGATGCCGGTAAACAAGATTCAATTTCAGGTCGAAAAAAGGTCAAAGTTGAAAAAAAGTGTCTCATTGACTTTTAGCCTGAAACCCGGATCTACCTTTAAAGATGATCTAAATAGCATCAATTGGCTCATCAAAAGCAAATGCAATTTGCTCCTCTTTCATGATGACTGAAAATTTATGAACAAACTACACTCAAACAACGTGATTAGTCTTTGTCAACCATTAAAATGATGATTCAATAAAAGACAGAGTCATAAATGTTTAAATGAAAAAGCAAAAAACCCTTCATTTCTTTCCAATTTTAACTCATTTCCCTCATGATATCATTAATTGTAATGTAATGAGAATCAAATTACTGTAAAGCGGACATCAATTATCAAATTTTCAACATTCAGTTCATCTTTCAAATTAAATATTAATTTTTGCACAGACTGCAGACTGTAACTTGATAAGGTTGTGATTTGCTGCCTTTTAGCCTTGGGCATAGTTAACCATAAATGACAATACTTTGAATACATTCAATTGTCTAATGAAAATCGGTTAAGATTGATAAGATAAAATGTGAGTTTTGAACGGGAAAAGCAAAGTATTTTGACAAACAAAACTGAACAATCAAGGTAAATGTTTAAAAGGGAAACTTTAATGTCTCGGACTCTTGGCTATTCAAGGTTGGATTACAATTGGATTATGATGTTGTTATTTACTACCTTAACCAATGTCAAAATGAAAATTAGCATCACTTGAAAAGACTGACTGACCAGTTACAAGGTCAAAAGAGCAAGACCTCGAATAATGTTAATAAAGTTAATAATACTGATGAAAATAATGGTGATGATGATAATAACAAGATAACACGAATAGACGTAAAAAAATGCTGAGAGATTCATGGTTGACTCAGCCTTCATTCTGATATTACAAGAAACTCTTTTCACCAAAACAGAGTTCAATTCTGTTTATGAATCTTCTCAATCTTTTCCCTGCTTTTTTATCCTTTTCTCCTTCTTCTCCATCTTCTGTCTATATCTTATTGTAACTGTGATGAAATGAAAGAATGATGAGGAAGAGAAAAGGCAAGAAGATATTAGCTGAAAAAAGTAAAGGATGCTGAGAAAAGAGAGAGATAAAGTTTCGTTGAGACGGAAGAAATGAATGATAATGTAATGAACATGAAATAATAAGATGAGATACAAAGAAAAGCTTGTTATTAGATTCTCAACTTTTTTAATCTTTTTTTTAATTCTGCAATGTTTTATATCTTGATAATGAAATGATGGACTTGAATGACAGTTAGAAAATTGAAAAATTTTGCTTCAAAAAAGTGGTTCCACAAACTGCCAAGTCAACTGATTCAATGTTACAAAATTTTCGTCAATAACTTGTAACACATTAAACAACGATTAATCAAAGCTATTTACAGATGATTTTTTCACCTTTGATAAGGTCCTCAGTTCAAGCTAAATCGATCAATGATCAATCTCAATGATGAACCAACGATCTTTAACCAAAGTAAAAAAATTTCAAAAAGTTTTTCTATTCACACTTTACTCTGAAAATGACTTAGACTTTGCTCTCGACTTTTGCAAATGGTTGAGCTTTTCATGGGAATTTCAACGATTTCGTTAAGAAATTTTCAAGATTCGAATGAAATTTCAACGTTGGAATGATATCACTTCTCAAGTCCGGTTTGGTCATTTGCATTTACAGTTGATCAGAGTTGCCTTCTTGATGCAAGAAGATGAACCGAGCAAAGGTAAAAATTGATTTACAGGTTTACTTGATAAACAGGGATGAAGCAAGTTGAACAAGAAAGCAACCTCTAGGTAAGTTAAGAGCAAGGTTGATGGTGAGAGTCAAAAACAGGTAAAAATAGTTTCTTTTTTTCCTCTTCATTTTCATTGGTTTGTTCTTAGACACAAAATGTTTGAGCAACAACAAGTGAAAAAAATATAATCATTGGTGAAAATGAATTTTGACAAGACAAGGTTAAGCTATTGGGTTAACAATAAGAAAAAGAGTTTCTTTTTTTATCTCGTTTTTTATTTACCTTTTAATGGTTAACAAAACGTTTGGCTTTTATAAACTATTATCAACTTTTTATTGGGTTAACTTTACTTGGGTTGAGGTTGATAATGGTTATTGAAACATTAAACTGATGCAAGTGAAGGTCAAAACAAAATGGTTATTATTTCTTGATCATTATGGTCATGTTGCTGATGATGAGTATCATGATGGTAAATGATGAACACAGTAACATTGAAAGTGATGACGATTCCAGTGATATGTATGGTAATGAATGATGATCACATAAACATTTTACATTTCACTAATTTGATTACACAGCACTGAATCCGTTTTGTTTATCAAACCTTTTCAAGCAACACACACACACAGAGATTGGTGAAACTGATCAACTGACAAACGATTAAAATGTAATGTAAAAGAGCAAGGGAAAAAGATTGACAAAAATCATGTTTTAATACACGTAAACACAAGAGCAATGAAAAATGGAGAAAAAAATATTCGGTAAAAAAGCGAAATAAGGAGATGAAGATGATGAAGTTATGACTGGTTGGTAGAACCGGTCGTGCTTAACTGACTTGCCAAAAGCTCTTCAGGCAGTCATCCATGATGATGATGAAGGGGAGCCATGATGAGCAATGATGAGAGGGGAAACATGAAAAGGACGGGACTCTCATCTGTTTCAAGTCTAACATTGTTTTTAAACATTTTCCCATTTTTTACTTGTTCATCATCATTGTATAATTGTTTCTCTCATTATACCACTTTTATCAGAATCTGTCTTTTCTCACTTGTCTTTAACAAGGTTGTGAGGATGATCAAGACAGACTGGGTAAAATAATAGGTAAATTGGTGACAGGAAAAGGAAATGAAACGGAAATGTTGACAGAATTTTTTTACTCACCAAATGAAAATTTTTACACACAACGGGCAACCTTCAATGTAATACAATGACGACTGATGGTAATGAACGTTGAGAAGGAAAAATGTTTTTCTTTGTATCTTTTGCTCGCTATTATTTCAGTTTAACTTTAAATTTTAGCCTTTTGTCTTTTTCATGTCGACACTCATCACTTTTACCAATTTGTTTTGCTTGGTGTTTGGTTTACTTTCACTTTTCAAAGGTAAATTTATTGACGTAAGTCTTTTAAAGGACAACTGAATAACTGATGAGAGATGAAGCTTCAGTTTACCTCGATTCATGAGGTTTACACATTTGAAGGTAAACAAACTAACTCGTAGGTGACAACTTGTAACCGTTAATGTACCATGACGATATCAACTTGTTGAACAGTAAATGGTTGTGTCTTCAAAATGAATTGTTTATTAGCATCAAATCATCATTTTACTCATCAGAGTTACAATTTCTTATGTTGTTTCAGTTCAACTAAACCAATAAGTTGAAGGTAACCAGTATTTAATCAAATGGTTTAATCAAATAAACTGAATGGTTTTGAAATTGATCAACTTTAATATTTAACAGTTTAATCAGAAGCCGATGATAAAGAGAGTGATTAGACCTGATTAAAAAGTTAAAATTAAAATGAAGCTGATAAGAAACCTAAAATTAAAGTAGAAAAGCTATTGAAAGCAACGGAAAATCAAGACATTTGTTTTGAAAATTGAAAAAAGTGGTGAGATTAGATTACATATTGATCTAAATCAGTTAACGATATCTCGAAGTTAAACAGCTGAGAAAATTGAATTTATGTTTATTTTGAAATCATTTACGCATCTTAATAAATCATTTTTACACTGGTTTTTAATCTAAAATGAGATTAGATAAATTTCTGGTATTGATATCAGGTATTTTGGTTTCTTTATCATTTTTTGGTTCTGGTTAGGTTAGGTTCGGTTAGGTTTAGGCTTCGCCCCAAGTTTAAATCTCATAACTTCTGATTCAATGGTTTAACTATTAATTAATTGTTACAATAATAATGCTCAATAACCTGATGCTGTGACTTGAACTTTTTGAATCAATCGATACCCTTTCAGAGGCAAGTTTAGCCACCAATGGGCTCATCGTTTCAAAACTGTTTAAGCTTTCTATAAACTTTTTAGTCACATTAATAATGCAAAATAACCTGATGATTATCATCAGGTTGAAGCGAAGTTAAACCTTGAATTTGATAGATGAGTCAGTTTGAGTTTCAATCAAATCCTAAGCTTGGGAAAACATTCAACCTTAATCAACCTAATTTTGTGGTTGACCTTTGTAAAAGCTGGGCATGAGATGAGCTTAATTCACTTTACAATGTTATTTTCATGTTGATCAATTTTTCAACTTCTCATCGATACCTTTAGACGGAAAATTTAGGGAAATAGTTTTCAACTTTTCACTCAATTACATCATGTAACCTTGACTTGGTTATTAAATCAATTAAGTTAATAAATTTTTTGCTGCTCTTTTCATGATCAATGACTGTTAATCAGTTTAGACTCACTCCTTTGATTTCATTGTTTTCAATTGATTGACACTACAATTAGGTGACGAGAGAAAAAAAACAAAAGGTAAAAATTACTTTTTCATTAACTCGATTTTTGTTGACTTTGTTTCATTCAATTAAAATGTGAACTTGATGACAAAAGAAATTGAAAATTCATTTGATATCGTTATTTGTGTGAGCCAAAAATAGTGAACTGAAAAACTTTATACTCAATAACTTTACCATTCCCGTTACAATTTATTCACATTTAAAACAATTTCTCACTCACTCATACTGTTCAGTTGATTGACTTCAGCTAATTGATAACTTGATTAGAATGCACAACGGGAAACCGGAAAAACAACTCAAAGTTTGGTGCAAAAGTTAACTTCAAAGGTATTAATTTGCATGGAGATGCAAATGGATTTCCTTAACTGTACATTTTCAAGAGCCAGAACAATTAGCTGATCAGGTCGATAAATTTGATTGAACTCAGTTTCAATTTTATTTTACTATAACAGCTGAACAAACTTGAATCTAAGAATGAAATTTTTGTAACAAATCGTTCGCTGTTGACGTATATCGAGTCAAATTATGCCGATCATGAGGTAATTTTGCATTGTTGCAACAAGAAAATTATGACATCAAAGGATATCGATAGCAATGTCTTTGATGATTCGAGCTACTTTTATAACAAGAAGCATGACAGTTTGGACTTGCAACTATTATTTTGATTGTTGATTGGCTCAGTTTGCAGTCATCAATGAATCTGCATTTCGTGGGAAGCACTTAATGATACTAGCCGACACAAATTGGAAAGGATAAGTGAATCTATGAGAAAGTGAAACTTGTTCAGTTGAACCGAATATAAGCAATTGGAACAGAATGCTGAGCCAAGATATTTACCGATTCTCAGGCTTAAAGATCAAAGTGAAAGTTTGGCGTTCAACTCGGCCAACTTTCTATTCAAAGTTATTTTCATTCATTAAAAGTGTAAATAACAAGAGGGTTTTACAGCAAGCTTTGTTTAAGTGCAACAAGATCACAATAAGATTGTAAAATGATCGTTTTTAACCAAAACTGAGTTCAAAGTTCCATCTTGTTTGAGTTTATTTGATAATTGTTCATTATAATTAGAACGAATAAAATCCAAATAAAAGTTAAGAGCTAACTGCATGTTGACCAAATATCAAATGTTTTGTGTTTTAATTGCATTCAAATTGTTTGAAACATTTAAGTCTAGTAACATCTCATAAGGATAGACATAAGCTTTGAAATACAAAATGCACACACTAGAGTTGATTCTAACAGGACATTAATCATTATAACTTAAGTTAATTTGATCCTAATAACAATTTCTGACTGTTTTCAACTCACACTTAATCTCATGGAAACTAACGAACTGTCAAACTTAAGAATTCGAACTCAAAACATTATCGAGTTATTTTGCTTAAGTCGACTAGAGTTGGCTTTCAAAAGGCTGCAAAATAATTGATGCTTTGGTAATTATGACCACTCTGATGAGTTAAGATTATCCTTAATGGTCTTAATAACAATGCATTTCATTGCTTCTGTAATGAACTTTGAGAATTCAAACTCTTAGCTTTCGTTCAAAGCCATTCAAGACTTCAATCTAAATATTTGCTAATTTCGCAGCTTATCCATGATCTTTTGTGAACAAAATAAACTTTACATTTTTATTGAAACGACTTTTGACCGAAATTTCGACAATTTTTGAACATTTATTTTCTTTTTTAACAACTTTTTTCTCTTCGATTCTTTTGATGAGTTGAAATAGATTGCATGCCAATGTTATCAAGTGTGTATCCAATTTCCTCTGAATCGGTTCCTTTCATGTCATCCAGATTGAGAACAACAAGAGGTGAAGAAATAGCAGAAAAAAAGAACAAGAAATATTACTGATAACGTACAGAACTTTGGTAAAGAAAGAGAGAAAAAAATAGAAAATTTTCTTCTCGAAGAATGGAGCTTAAATCAGAATTCATCATTCATTTCCACCATTTTCAGATGATCAAGTGGAAGAAGGAACAGGAAAAAGAATCACATGGAACAAGAAGAAAAAGAGAAGAAGAAAAAAAAGTTGTTCCCATTCGAAGTAAAGGAAACAAAGCTGAAAATTGGTACCAAAATATGAGGCTAAAAAATAATGAAATGCCATGAAATGTTGAATCGATTTAGACAAATTTCATTTCAACTTGAAATGATAATGAGAATATCATTTATTTCCTTTTCATCATCAAATTGCTCATCTTCATACTCATCATTATCCCAGTTTCCATGAACAACGAAAGAAAAAAAAACTATCAAAACTTTCCTGCATCAGCATGGAGAGAAAAAAAAGAATATCCTAAGAAATTCTTTTACACAAAATAATCAATTGATGCAATAATAATTTGATGGTCCATTCTTGAAACGCAAACAGGGTAAAGAGTGAAACTAATCAATAAACAAAAGAAACTGAAAGAACAAGTTGAAACTCAAATGGCAATCAAAATTTAAACTTTGAGGTAAGGAGAAGAAGAAGAAAAAAAAAAGTTCTTTGATTGAAAATTAATGAGAATAATTTTTCAAATGTTATCATGATGACTCGATAAGTTATCATGAAACTCATTATTATAGTTGCCAAATCCAAAGTCTTGTTCCACTTTCAGTTAGAATTATGAATTTTTCTTTTCGTTTCTTCCATTTTCCGTATCTCACAATGAAATAAATGGGCAATAAGATGATGATAATAATGATGATGATCATGATGATGATCATGGCAAAGATGATTATAATCATTCTCAGAGGAAATAGGAATGTTTAGTTAACAATAGTCGAACCAATAAATATATATTTATATTAGATATAAAGAGATGAGAATCAGTCTGGGAGGGAAAAATCCCTGAAAAAGTTATTCTTTTTTTTCATTCCAATAGTCAGGGAATTTTAGCAATCGATTAAACTGTGATAATTCAATTTCAATGAGAAGACATGAAATCATTAATGACTTTTGTCGAACACATTTTCAACTGTAAAACAATTGTGACATTTGAAACTTTTCATAATTTCCATGTGATTCTCATCATTCTCATGATTTTCAATGTTTTCATCTTTTCCAGGCTCTTCTTCAAACAAAATGTTATTGATTTTTTTACTGATTCATGGAAAGTCATGATGTTTCAGTGTGGCTGAAACAGGTAAAGTTATTTTTGTCTTTTAATCAATTTTTAACTGCAAAACTAATTATACTTTTGATTGAAATTACATTTCTAATTAATTGATTTTCTCGCTGTTTACCTTTCCATGGTAATCGTTGAATTTTTGTTCCCATTTGTCAACTGTTTCTTAATCAAACAACTTACATTTCAACTGTTTTCTTGTTAAACCTTAAAAAGCTTTTCTTCACAATAATTG